CATCACACAGACTGTCTCAAGCCCAGCCAGTCCCTGACGACACATAAGGAAACCCCCAAACATTCACATGTTTTTCAAAGGTACATGGACCTCTCTCAATAGCTCTCACGCCTCAGACATAAGAAGACCTCCAGATCCAGGCTGGTCCCCCCTGACATGCATGCGCCCGTGCTCCTGCCTCTGTGGGGGCCCAGCTCTGCTAGGGCTTCAGGGGCAAACCTCATTTCCCCAACTCTAGGAAGGTGCCCAGAGTCCCTGTGTACACAGGTTTCCTTGGCATCACTGAGGAAACTGAGGTCCACCTGGTCTGCTGAAGGTGGGGAACAAATATTGAATTCAGTGGACAGACACTGTGTCAGGGCTATAGTGGCTGCTGGCTGACTGTCCAGAGCTGGGTCAAGGGTCAGCAAGTGCTGATTCTTTTCAGGCTGAAGACATGCTGAAAGGCAAGCCCTGTGCTGCTGAGTTCCATTCTTTGCTTTCAGGCTCCTTTTAAGGATCTCATGACACACAACATAAATGTAAGGCCGCAGATGGCCTGTGGCCCACAGTGTGAGACCCTGTTCTGTAAGACATTCTCATCCAGTTAGTGATGTTTGCCTGGCATGCATGAAGCCAGGTTCCATCCCCACCACCCATGAAAATAGACACGGTGGGGCACACCTGTGATCCTAGCGCTCAGATGTTCCAGGCCAGCCTGGGCTAAGTGAGACCCTCTATTAAAACAAGCCTGTTTTGCTGGCGCACACCCTTAATCCTAGCACTGAGAAGCAGAGGCAGGCAGATCTCTGAGTTCAAGATCAGCCTGGTTACAGAGTGAGTTCCAGACCAGCCAAGGATACATAGTGAGACCCAGTCTCCAAACAATAGAAACAGCAAAAATGAAAAAAAAAAAAAAAAAAAGCAAACCAAAACCAAAACTCTACACATAAAATAAAATTTAATTTTAACAGAGAGAGAGAAAGACAGAGAGAGAACCAGCCAGACAGAGACAGAGACAGAGACAGAGAGGTGGCTGAGGAGAAAGGTCAGTGGGTGATGTTTGTAAGCCTGCAGACCTGAGTTTGACCCTCAGGGCCCACATTCAAGCCAGGCAGATCCCGAGGGCTTGACGGTTGGCCACTCTTGTTAAGGCTGGTGAGAGACTCGAGGGTAGGGAGGCGTGCGTGCATGTGCGGGTGAGATCACCAGCCTGGCCCGAGCCTGCTGCCCCGTATGAGGGGTGCCCAAGACCTCCACAGGGGCTGCAGGAACAGCCCAAGATTTCCCTCTTTGTTGCACAGAAAGAGCTTCCCATGGGGAATTGGTCCTTAGAGAGGCTCAGGCCTCCCAGCTTGGGAAATTAACACATCTGTCAGCACTGGGCGGAAGGGATTCTGCCCATGGCCTCAAAAGCCCCAAGATATACCAAATGGGAGCCCGAGTTCAGGTGAGGGGCATCCTGTGTCCTCCTCTGTAGGCCCAGAACTGTCAGGGACACCCAGGCAAGGGGCCGGACAAACACTGGACTGTCCTCTGGCCGGTCGACAGCAGAATCCTGGCTGTGTCTGGGGAGTCTGGGGAAGGAACGGGAAGAGCAGCTTGGTCTGCTGCCTCCTGCCTGTCATCAGCAGCTGGAAGGTGGAGGAGGGAGGACCAGAAGGGCGGCCTCAGCTGCACAGTAAGTTTGAGGGTGGCCTAACAACCTATCTGAGAAAACAGAAAAGAAAAAGGAGAAAATGGGGAGACTGAGGCCGGGTAATGGTGAGCATGGTATGCACAGAGTCCAGGAAGGCCTGTCTGAGCAGTGGTCTTGAGGATAAGAGGGTGCCATCCAGGCAGGGACAAAGGGCTAGCCCGCCTGGTGCACAGTAGAACAAGTGCAAAGGTCCTGGAGAGGGACCTGGAGAGGTGGCTCAGAGGTTAAGAGCACTGACTGTTCTTCCAAAGGTCCTGAGTTCAACTCCCGGCAACCACATGGTGGCTCCCAACCATTTATAATGAGATCTAGTGTCCTCTTCTGGCATGCACACAGAAAACTGTATAAATAGTAAATAAATCTTAAAAAAAAAAAAAAAGTCCTGAAGAGGGAGGTGGCTGCGGCTGCTGTAGCCTGCTCCTAAGGACACCTGGCTGTCTTGCCATCTGCCCTGAGGGAAAGCATGCTCCCTTAGAGAGGTTGGACAGGGTGAAGGCAGTGGACAGAGGAGCAGAGCACTATGGGAAGGTTATGTTGATTCAGAGTTCTTGGATTCAGTGCTGTGGTGGGGGCTTTGGGAGCAGGACGGCAGGACAGCACACCTCAGGAGGAGCTGTGGCCTGGACTATCAGCGTGCAGGTTGGGAAAGAGGATGAGAGAAGTCCACAGCTGTGCGGAGGCCACGTCAGCCACCACTGTTGCTCCCCTCTTAGCTCTCACCTTGACCTGGGGTGAACTAAAGAAGATGGTGAGTCAGGGACAAGCGGACCCTCCCCAGCTCTCTGCTTGGAAACAGCTCGTGGTATCTGCTATGACCAAGCACCTACTGTTTGCCCAGGCTGTCAACACAGGCCCTACTCACAGAAACAGCTCAGCTACCAAGACACAGGCCCTCCTCTACTGGGAGAGTGGGCTTTGCCCTAGTGCCAGATGGCAAGACTCCTAGGTTCCCAGTGAGGAGCAGACTTGGGCCCCAGCATCTGCCTGCCACACTCCAAACTCACCGCTCGTGACCAGCTGGCATTGTCACCCTAGGATGGAAATCTAGGTCTCAGGCTAGGTATGTCAAGTCACACACAGGTGTCACTGGCAAATCCTGGCACGGTGGTGCATGCCTGTCACCCCAGCTCTGAGATGCAGAAGGATCGACAATCCAAGGTCACCCTCAGCTATGCAGATACACAAGGCTGTTTCCGACAAACAAGAAGCCATGTTTGGGCTCCTTGCCCTGCTGTGGTCACAAAGGCAGACAGCTCAGAGAGACAGGCTGGTGGTGAGGCTATGTCCCTCAGCAGCTGCTCCTATTCTCTCAAAGACTTGGGAATGGCCTTGAGTCCCTTCTTTCTCCAGGGGGCTGGGTGTCCCGGCCTGGCCTTAGTATTGTCTCCTCTAATCAGGGCCTGGTGGTTCACATCTGTCATCCCAGGTGAGGATCAGGAGTTGAAGGCCAGCCTGGGAAACTTAACACCCTGGCTCAAAAAGACTAAATTCCTGAGCTAATGTTAAGTATACTTGCTACTCTTGCAGAAACCTAAAGTTTGGTTCCTAGCACCCACAATGAGTAAGGCTCAAAAGTTCAGCTCCAAGGGATCCAATCCAGCTGTTCATAGGTATCCTTTCCCTGCTCCATGCATATGATTAAAAATAATAATAATTAAACAAATCTTTAAAACAACAAAAAGAGCTGGCACTCAGGAAGCAGGTGGATCTCTGTGAGTTCAAGGCCAGCCTGGTCTACAGAGCAAGTTCCAGGACAGCCAGGACTGTACAGAGAAACCCTGTCTTGAAAAAACAAAAATAAAATGAAAAGAAAATTCCAAATCAGCTTTCAGATGGCCCCTGTGCCTTAAGTGTCCCAAAATTCTGTCCCTTTCACAACAGTTTTGTTCTGGTCTTCAGCAAGGGAGTGGGTGACATACTCAGCCCTCAGGGAGCAAGCCCACCTTGTCAGCGGTCCCTGAAGCCGTAACAATCACACAGGTCAGCACTGATCCCGCTAAACTGAGGTAGGTGGCCCCAAGCCACCTCCAGTGCCTGGGACAGAACTTGGGAGCTCGCACGTTCCTGAGCGCCCTCCCCAGATGCTCACTGACGGACTGCGGTCAAGCATTCTCCCCAGGCCCTGCACACCGAGGGCTCTTTTGTGTCCAGGTTTGTTCACACCAACAGTCAGAACTCCTATTCCCGGTCCCATAGGACCACAGTCCTTAACTCTGCCCAGCAAGCACGTGGAGGCCTAAGCTGGCTGACTTCTGTCTGCATGTAGTGTTGGGGCCAGGCAAGGATGGGTCACTAAGAGACAAGAAGGGGTGAGGACCAGGAAAGGGACCCTGCCTCCGAGGTGTGTGAGTTGTTCCTGCTGAAGTTTCCAGGGAAGACACAGGCATGGAGCAAGGGCGGCCCCTTCCGCCTCCCTTCCGTGCCCACGGACATACCCAAAGTAAAACACAGGCAATGGATGGCACGGGCAGGCTCAGCTCAGAGACGGGCAGGCTCAGCTCAGAGACGTACCGGCGCCACAGAACCGGTCCTCACAAAACCTTAATCACAGCCTCCACGAGGGACATACCTGTGATCCCACATTTTGGAAACTGAGGCAGGAGGATTGATGAACGCTCGAGGCTGGCTTGAACTACATATAAAGACCCTGTCTCAACTTCCCAATTCCCCACTACCCCTCACCCCAAGAAAACCACAAACAGCCACCATTGAGTACACATCTGTGATCTTGGCACTGTCCTGAGTTCTGGGTGAGCCTGAGCTACAGAGTTTTGCTTTTGCCAAGGTCTAAGGATATAGCCCTGGCTGGCTTAGGGCTCACTATGAAGACCAGGCTGGCCTGGAAGATCTCCCTGACTGGGAGTAAAGGCATGAAGCACCAAACACAGCTACACAGTCTTCTAGGCCAACCTGGGCTATAGAGTGAGACCCTCACTCAGATTCTCAAAGGAATCTCCAACAAGATGGGCGCGGGCGCAGGGGCACACTTCTCTGATTCCAGCACTCAGGGAAGCAGAGGGAGGCGGTTCTCTCTGAGTTCAAGGCCAGCCTAGTTCAGGACAGCCAAGGCTACAAAAATAAACCCTGTCTTGAAAAAACAAAAAATAAACACAAGCAAACAAAAGAAACCTCAAACAGTGAGTGTGGTCACAGCTTGTGAGCCCAACAAAACTTCTGGAGACTGAGGCTGGAGTGAGTTATGTAGTAACGTCCAGACTAGCTTGGGCTAGACAGAGAACCTACCGCTGAAACCCAGCCCCGCTCCCGCACACACCGCACACACACCGCCCTCTGCACCCCATCTGCCCCGAGCCCCGCACACCTCGGGAGTCCGGGAGTCCCGTCCCTCCGGCCGCACCTGCTGCGCACTGCGGGGGTCCCGGCGCCTACTGCTGCCGCTGCGCCGGCCCAACTACTACTACTGCTGCCGCCGGCCCAGCCGCAGGTGCGGGCCCGCCCCCGAGAGATGATTGGATGGAGGTGAAACTCATTTGCATAGGGGCAGACACTTGCGGTGTCCTAACTCCCAGGCACTCCGTACTCCGTCCAGAGGCGATGCCGGGATCCAGAGCTAAGAGAGGCAAGGCTTGAGGCGCACTCTCGGCAGGCCGGGACCGGAGGACTGGGCAAGCCCCTGTCCACAGAAACAGAAAACAAACAGAGCCGCGGGCAGCGACACACACCTTTAATCCCAGCCCTCAGAGAGGCAGAGGCCAGCCTTGCGTACAGAACAAGATCCAGGACATCCAAAGAAACTGTGTCTGGAAGAAAACCATCACCACCACCATCAAAAATCAAAAGAAAGAGAAAGATAAAAAAGAAAACAAAACGGGGTCGGGGAATGAAATGGTTCAGGGGTTAAGCATGCTGACCGGAGTTCAATCTCCATCCCCGATATGCAAAAGATGGAAGGAGAGAACCCACGCCTTCTGCACACTGTGGCACACGTGCCACCCGCCCCCACAAAAGCAAAAAAAAAAAAAAAAAAAAAAAAAAAAAAGCCGGGGCGGTGGTGGAGTAAGCCTTTAATCCCAGAGGCAGGCGGATCTCTGAGTTCCTGGCCAGCCTGGTCTGCAGAGTGAGTTCCAAGACAGCCAAGGCTACACCGAGAAACTGTCTCGAAAAACACACACACACTACTACTAATAATAATAATACAGGGCAAAGCTGCATGGAAACAGCCAGGTTTCCCCTTGAGGATTCAGTGCTCCTGGACCTCACTGTGACCCTGCCCTTACTTTGCACCACTGTTAGCCTGGACCATACACCTTAACCGGGGTAAAATACAGTTCCCAGCTAGTCTGATGACAGCCTGTTGGCGGCAGCATGCTAAGTTTCTGGCCAGTCTGAGACACACAAAAAGTTCAAGGGTACCCTGGGCAGTTTTGAGACTGCCTCTAAATAAATAAATACAGTGGGCCTGGTGGCTCACATCTGTAACCCCAGGTACTCAGCAGACGTGAGGACAGTGAGTCTAAGGTCAGCCTGGGGAGCTTAGGACAACCCTGCCTCTAAATAAATATACAAATAAAAGGTGTGAGACTGCAGTAGAGTGCTTGCTTAGCGAGCAAAAAGCTACATTCACGCTCCAACCCTGAAAGGAAAAAAAAAAAAAAAAAAAAAAAAAAGCAATGGAATCTTGGGGTAAGGAGGCTGAGGCAAGGGGATTGCTTCTAGTTCCAGGGCAGCCTCAGCTACTGACCCTGCCCAATAAAGAAATAAAAGAATTCCCTTGAGCCCTGATCCTGCTGGCAAAACGGACCAAGTCAGCCTTTAATGCTGGCTCATGGCCTCAGAAAACTGGAACCATTACATGGGGATCTGGGCCTCCTATGTGGGCTCTCTCCTTCCACTGGACCTCCTGAGCCTGTGACCCTACTGCCCTCCTCTGGTCTTCTCCCATCATACCTGTCTCAGCTCACCTCTGGCTTTGCAAAGTCATTGTGTGGGGTCTTGTAGGACTCCTCTCCACCCTCAGCCTGGAGTCTCAGCCTCATCCTGCACCAGCCCAGGCCCAGAGGAGGACCCAAAGGGAGAGCACTTGAGGTGAGCATCAAAGGGAAAAGGGTCAGAGGTCAGGGATAAAGACCCCAGTATGATAAAAGTGGACTCTTCAGGTCTCCCTCCAGTCTTGCTGAGCCAGGGGGAACAATGGGAGGTGAGACCAGAACTGGGGAGAAGGGCAACACACCGCAAGGATGGGGACGTGAGCCTCAGAAAGTGGGGAGTTTGCAGTGGGCTTTCCAATCTGAGTAGTTTGCTCCTGGGTAAAGGACTTTGGGGTGTGGGGCAGGAGTCCAGCTGACTGGGTGGGCCCCTGATGTGTTCCCCATGTGTATAATTGGAACCTTGTACTCTCCGAACAACTCCCTGCCCCCAACAGTATTTCAGTCTTGTAACCCAAGCTCAGGGCAATCCTTTTGCCTGAGCATTTGGATTTCAGCAGCCAACCACTGCCACAGGAAACTTCGGACTCAAATGGAAGGTTCCTGCTGTGCTATGAGGTGGGTGCCCCGCCCTCATCCAGTCGCTCACTCCACACGCACAGGTGTCTCCAGGACACACGGAGGTTCAGGCCAAGCCTGGGGGCTTCTGCCTGGCCTCCACAATGAATAACGAGGCATTGGCAGATGAAGGAGCCTGGGGAGGCCAGGCCCCCAGGGCCCGCTGTTTACCTGGCCACCTCCCCCTGGCTCTGATGCAACCTGAAGGCTCTGGTTACGTGAGAGCAGCACCTGCAGCAGGGCCCCTGTGCTGGGGGGGGGGGGAAGGAAGGACACAGACACCTACCTTTACTCACTCATGAAAAGCCCCACCCACCAGAGGCCCATCTGCTGCCCTGGACCCTCCTGATCCCATCACTTACCGTATTCATTATGGGGGGAGGGGGACAGTAAGTCACCAGCTCTGGCTTTTCAGGTGAGGGGTGGGGTGGGGTGGGGGTGGGCTATGTGGGGATCTGAAAGCCAAGGCTCTTTGTTTATTGGGCCTTTGTTCTCGCTGTCTTTTTGGACAGTCTCAAACTACTTACGTAATAATGACAACCCTGAGCCTGGTGTGATGACAACACCTTTAATCACTCACTCAGGAGGCAGAGGCAGGTGCATCTCTGAGCTTCAGGCCAGGGCTACACAGTGGAAACCCTTTCTCAGAAACAAAACAGTAAAAGGACTACCCTGAACTGATCCTCTTGCCTCTGCCTCCCATGCACTGGGAAATCAGGCCTGTGCCAGCTTGCCTGGCTGTTTGAGACAGGGTCCCACTCTGCAATCTGGCTGACTTCAAACTAGCAGCAGTGCTGTGGTGACAGGCAGGAGCCACCATACCCAGCAGGGAAGTTCTGAAGGTTTTCCATGGCCCACCTATACTAGGGTTAGAAAACAACCCTGCTTTGCAGGGCTTGCTGTGTGATCTCTGGCTGGCCATTCTCTGCTAGGGGGAAAAGTAGAGACAAAAGCCATAGGTGCTGGGAGAACCAATCTGGTGCCCTTCACACTCTCTCTGAGACCCCCCCTTTCCAGCACTGAGGGTATATACATCAGACTCCATATTCACCACTGTGCCTTGTGGCCAGGCCCAGTGTGCTGGCACCAAAGACTGTTGCCATTAGGTCTCTTCAAGACCCAGAGACAGTCTGTGCAGAGGAGTGGACAGAGCCACAACTGGGGCACACAGAGGTCTCTTCCTGGGGAGGAAGGGTTTCCAGGAGGTTAGCAGAGAAAGCAGGAAAAGAAAGTTGAACTTGAGTTAGGGAGGGGAGTAGACAGAAAGCCAGAGGGGCTGGGGAGCAGGCTCGGAGCACATCCTCAGCTCCCACAATGGGCAGTTCACAACCAACCCCAGCTCAGGGGATCCAGCGCCCTATTCTGACCTCTGCCACCTGCACTCCCACACAGAACAAAAAATAAAGCAAATCTTTATTTATACTTTAGAGTTGTAATATTTTAAAAAGCTGGCAAGACGGCCTGGTGCTGCTGGCTGTAACCTCAGAGAGAGGCAGCTGAAGCAGAGGGTAAGCTCATGCCAGCCTGGGTTACATAGCCAGAACTTGTCTAAAAGAAAATAAATCCAAGGTCTGTGAGATGTCTCAGTGGGTAAGGCTGCTAGCTGCCATGATGACCTGATAGCCCTGGATTTGATCCCTGGTGGAAGGACTCCCCAGCTCGCTCCCTGACCGCCCCTACACATTCTACACGTGCCATTCAAGTGTGCCCCACTCCCGGTAAATATTCTAAAAAGTCTAAGCACAGGCTGCTATGGGCTCCCTTTCGGCGCGACACAGATCTGGGGAGCTGATGCTTCCTTTGGGGTCAGACCCCTTCCAGATTATCCCTCATCAGTGAATGCCAGGCTCCTTCTTGGATGCCCCATGGCACAAGAAGGTCACTGACCGTCTCCACGTGGTGGGGAGAGGCTGTGAGATTTGGCTGGCGGCAGTGTGGGGACAAATTTAAGGCCTTTAAGGTCTTGCTGACTCAGGCTCTGGGAGGCTCAGTTGCTCTCAGAGGACCAGGAGCCTCTGCCTGGTTTGTATAAGTAGGCAGCACTGTGTACCCGGACCAATGCTCTGCTCTTGTGGGGGGAATTCAAATGAAATGCAAAGTAACCATGGCCTTCTGAGGCCTGAACAGGTGCTGGGGTGGGGGACAGACTATTCGGAAACCTCTGAAAAGTGCCAGTCGCCAGCTGGGGGCACCGAGGCTGCGGTGTTACCGCGCCCTGGCAGGGCCTTGGGCACCCTAGGCCTGCCCCCACTGCTCCGAGCAGCCGCTGCTTCAGCAGCTGAGTCCTGGGGTGCTTTTCACAGGTACTATTTCTGTATGTGTGTACATATGCAGGTGGATCTGTGTGCTGCCGGGGCAACATGCTTTAGCCACACGCCTGCTTGCTTCTGTGGGTCTGCTGAGCAGACTCAGGTCTTCACTCGAGACAAGCTTGCTCACTGGGCTGTCTCTCCAGCTGTCTCACACAGCTGGGAGTGGCAGACCTTCTGTGCCTAGGCTTGGCTGGGGTCTTAAGCAGAGCTTTGATCTGGCTCTCCTGAAGTCAACTGTCCAACGACTTTGGCAACATTTTTTTGGTTGTTGGAGTTTGTGAGATGTGTGTTACGCTGGGGATGGAACCCAGGGCCCAGTGCAGGCCCCACCCCACCACAACCCAGGAGATGGGAGTCAGTGGCCAAGCCAGGGTCTTAGGCCCTGCCCTGGATGGAGTGGGAGAGGACTACCCAGGGACTCCTATGTTTTCACCTCAGCTTCAGAGGCGGCCAGCACCTTGCCCTGTACCACACAGGTCAGGCAGGGGAGGTCTTCAGACATGATCCCTGGTGGAAGCCATGTGAACCCAGCATGGAAGAGGACACTGGACACTAAGTGTATTTGCACCAGGATTGTCATGGGGTGCTCTTGGACCCTAGTTCATAACCAAGGGGGACAATTATGGCTGAGCCCCAAGGCAGCAGGCACTGGCCATCTTGCTAGGTCTTCAGTTCTTGCCGCATTCTCAATGTGGTGTCCAAGGAGCCGCTTCTGGCAGGACTGGGAGACGGGGAGCTATGGTCAGAAGGCCAGCATGTGAATCCAGGCACCTGCAGGCTGGAGCTGGGGCTGGCTGTGCTGAGGGTCTTGGGACTAGACAGTCAAAGAGGAGCTGACCCCATGAAGGTTACTCCGAGAGTAGCTCTGGGGACAGAGGGACGCAATCCCAGGCAGGTAAACAAGTCTGCAGATGAGACTGAGCTGAGGAGCCCAGGGTACCACAGGGTGAGCAGCGCAGGAGACAGCCACAGACAGAGGGTACTCTTGAGCATGTCCGGCTGTGGGCTGGGCTGGGAGCAGGAATGCACGAAATGCGAGTTTTGGTGTCTTTGTAAACTCAGTTATGTTATGTAAATATGTTTTTGTTTTAATCCAAGTGTGAGGTTTTAGTTAGGCTTTAGTACGTCCACGGCTCATAACTGTCTCCTGTTGGGGAATGGCCTTTGACAGCTGGTAAACGCCTGCCTCTTCAGGCATGTAAACGGGTGTGGTCCAGGACCCTGAGAATATAAATGTGGGGCACAGAAAGAGGCAGTGCGGTGGTGGTGGTGGGTGGCGGTTTGGAGAGACCAAAGACAGGGAAGAGAGATGCTTTGGGGCGCAGGGCTCGGAGACTGCTTTCTGCGTTTGCTGCTGCTGAAGAACCCATAGACCCTAGACAGCCAGGAGAGGTAAAGGCCTTTGTGCCCCTCTTCCCACTAACCTTCGCTCCTACTTAGGGTAGGGAGAAGCTTTAAGGAACCCCAAATAAAAGAGCTTAAAAATGAACACTGCAAATGCACCTACGGTTGATAGGGTCACAGTGCACAAACCTGCGAGCCCTTCTAGCTTTGGGTCCTCCCAGATTCCCCATGGGACTCCCCAGGAAAGAATGGCTCATCTCTTGTGGGGGTGACAAGCAATGAAACCTGGCAAGCTGAGGGCCTCAGTAAATGCCCACTGACTGGTGGCCCGTAAGTGCCTGCTACCCAAGGAGCTTGAGGGGTGCTCACTGTACAGGTCAGGAAGCACCCCCTGCTGCCCCAGGCTCCGGGGCTGGGAGCCAGTCTCCATCCAAGCCCGAGGCCTCTGCAGCAGAAGATGCTCAGCACCAGCGGGTCCCATGGATGAGGCCCTCTGCTTGAGGGGGTGAGAAGACCCACCCAGTCCCCAGGCCATAGCAACAGGCAAAGGCCAGAGGAAGCACCTAGCTGTGTGCAGCCTGGAGCAGCGGCAGGGGCTAGTCAGTTTACAGTACTGTGAGGTGGTAGGATTTTGAGTGTTTCTCTCGCACACTGATGCAGCTCTCACGATGCACACCCAGCCCTTACTGGCCTCAGCTGAATGAGCCATGTTTAACATGAGGAAAATGTTGAAGACCAGAGAAGTGAGGGTACAGTCTCAAGGCCACACAGCAGCTGAATGGTTGGGCATAGTAGGCAGGCCTCCGCCTAAGGGAAGAAGAGATACCAGAGGCCTGAACAACAGAGATTCAGAGTGGGACCCTCCAAGCTAACCCCCTGAGAAACCATTCCAGAAGAGCAGCCAGGAAACCAACAGTTAGACAGCAGGTCCCTGCAGGGACACAAAGAAATGGGTTAGTTTAGCAGAGTGATAGCCTCTGTACTGACCTGGGTGGGAAGGCTGGTGGCCCCAAGTCTTCCAGGATCAGGGTCAGGCCAAGGAAGGAGGGGTCGGTTTCTCCTGGCTGCAAAACAGGCAGAACTCATGAGACTGATGCCTAGGTGAGCTGCTTAGCAGAGCTGGCTAGATATTGGAGTCACACCCTGGACCCCAAGCCCCTTGAGTCTACTGTAAGGGTGGAAGGTCAGACTGCCTAGGCAGATGAACTGCAACCCAGATTTGGGAGGGCTGAGGACGAAGGGGTCTTCAGCACTTGGTCCTGCTGGTCCTCTCCTTCCAGCTACAAGCCAGAGTCAGGGAGGCCCATATCAAAGGCTGGCGGAAGCTCTTGCAGGTCAGGTATGTGTTTATTGAGTTAAAGCCAACACAAAAGAGGCTGAGATAGCAGGTACTTTTCACTGCACTGGGCCTCTGCTGAGGAAACCATGGAGGTGCAGGGTAGAGAGGCCCAGCTCCCCAACCACATCACTCCTCTTGCTCCTTCTATGGGTCCGGAGAGCCAGCCTCAGGACCCTTGCTCTGGTGACATCCTGGGGATACCAGGAGGCTACTCTTTGTCACCCACACTTCCTCTGATCTGCATCTCCCAGTCACTGTCCCCATGAGCCTGGCACCACTGTGTTCCTCACACCAGCTGAGTTACAGAATATAGGTGCCACAGATGCCACAGACCACCAGGATAGCTCATTGGTTAGGGTAGTGACAGGGGCTGGGGTGAGGGCAGGTGGCCGGGGCTACCTGTGGCCCTGGGCACTGGTGTTCATGTGGTCCCGGATACTGATGGCTTGTTTGAGCAGGCCTTCCACGCTGCGGAAGTACACGCTGCTGTCCACCAGGCTCTTCACAGCGCTGAAACAGAAGGGAGCAAGGATCAAGCTCAGGGCAGCCAGCTATGGCCATCACAGCAGCCTGGATCACTCAGGGCAGGGCTGCAGAGGTGGCCTCATCCTCTCAGCACTGTGTACCTACTAATGATCAAAAAGAGGTTTTATGTCTGTAAAGAAAACAATCTGTTCATCCTGCTCAGGGGGCCACCCCTCAGACCGCTGACTGCTGGTGGGCACAGCTTTTCGAGGACGGAGCTGCTCGTGTCTTGTGTTTAAAAGGGGGCTGGCCATGTAATTTTGCTTTTATGATGAAATCAGGCATGCACGTATTTGCCTGCCTTCCCAGGACTGGAAGGCAGAGGCAGAAGGATCCCCTGAATTTGGAGCCCGCCTGGGCTACAGAGTGAGACCCTATCTCAAAATTACACAAATCCCTTAAAAACATTATGTCTGGAGGGCTGCATCTGCAGAGGTGCCCTGTGGGCAGAGGCCAGCCTGCAGGCGTCAGTTCTCCTCTTCCACAGTGGGGTTAGCAGGCTCAGTGCAGGCCCCTTCACCCGCTGAGCCAGCCCACTGGCCCAACAGCCTGCCCCATAAGCAGCAGAGGTGACCTGTGTTAAGGGGTTTATAACTCTATGTACAGAAAACCCCAGAGAACTGTGCAAAGAGGGAATCAAGTCCTCATCTGTGACAGGCTCAGGACTGTGCACATCAAAAGCAACTGGCTGCTTGAATCTGCACTTTAGTGAGACTTAAGTGTGTTAAGAGGCAGAGAGATGCCCAGACCAGATGGCAGGGCTAGCCACAGGGATAGTGGCTCAAAAGAAGAACTGACCTGCTGCCTAGGTCTAAGAGTGGACACTGAAGGCGTGGTGGCGCACTCCTTTAATCCCAGAGCTTAGTGCTTGGGAGGCAGAGGCAGGTGGGTCTCTTAGTTCAAGGACAGCCTGATTTACAGAGTGTGTTCTATTTCTAGGATAGCCAGGGCTACATAATGAGACCTTGTTTCAAAAAAAAAAAAAATTGTGCAGAGAGAAAGATGGAGTCCTATAGGCTCCACAGGCTTACGCTTTTGGACAGAGCCCAGTGGGCACAGCACAAGGACTTAAGAGGCCACAGTCACTGAGCCAAACACACGCTCCCAGGACCCGACGAAGAAGGACCTCAATGAAGAGAACAGGAGGGGCCAAAGATATGGTCAGTGGCTAAAGACCCTTGCCACCTCCTGACTTGAGCTTAGTGCCTGGGATCCACAAAGCTGAAGGAGAGAACAGAGTCCTGTGAGTTGTCATCTGACCTGCACACAAGCGCCATGCACGTGTGTTTACATGCAGTCACACACTCTCACACACTCACACATATACCAACACCCTCACACACAGTCATACAAAAAAACCAGTCTCTCACAAACACACTTACACATACTTGAACACAGGCACTCACACATTCTCACACTCACCTAACATACACTCACACACACTTACAAAGCTACACTCAAACTAAATGTTGAATAATGTTGAATAAAATCTCATGTGAGAGCAAAGCTCATGTGCAGAACGGTCTCAGCAACTTGAGAGTCTGAGGCAGGAGAACTGCATAAGTCTGGGTGTTTGAGATGGCTCAGTCGTTAAGAGCACTGTCCACTCTTCCAAAGGACCCGGGTTTAATTCCCAGCACCCACTCACAACTGTCTGTAACACCAATTCCAAAGGATTTGACATCTTCACACTAGTGCACATAAAATTAAGTAAATTATCTTAAAAAAAAAAAAAAAAAAAAAAAGCAAAGCCTGGGTATTCAAGGTCAGCCTGGGGCATACACACTCAGAAACAGCAAGGGCAGGCAGAGGCGGTAGCAAGCTCAGCAGCCAGCGGCTCTGCACCAGAGGGCACAGCACCGGGTGGCAGGCAACTCCACTCTCCTTAGCAGGGGTCCAGCCTACAGCTCTGTGCTGCTACCCAGCTGGGTTTTTGTGTCCGTGTGGTTTATGTGTGAGTGTGTGTTCCTGGGTGTTTGCACGGGTGTGTGCACCTGTGAGTGCACGCGTCAACTGCTCGCCACCTTATCAGCTGAGCCCTAGCCCCTAATTGGAGAGAAGAGCCTCTTACTGGCTCCATCTCCCCAGAGCAAGAATTACAGGTGCACATCAACTGCCAAAATGGATGCTTCCGGTGGAATTTGCACAGCAAGCACCTTATCCAGTGAGCCATCCAGCACCCGCACTGCGCCAGAGGAGGCCAACAGAGGTGCCATGGCAGTGCCACCATGGGGCGGGACGGGGAATGCCTGCCACCCTGCCCTGTGAAGACGTGGCCGGGCACCTCACCTGCAGGCATACTCCACGGTGTATATGGCGCCCTGGCTCTGCTCCTCCCACCGCTGCATATCGGCCTGCAGGGTTGGGGGTAGGAAGGAAGGTTCTGTTGAAGCCAGTGACCCGACAGACCTCCGCAGTCCCCATTCCCTGAGTTCACGGAGTGCCTCCCTCCTCCTGGCCCGAGCTCACTGCCCTCCCCTAGATGTCTTGGTTGGGGCTCCCCAACCAAGGCGTGTGTAGACCACAGAGCCTCCCTCCTTACAGCCCTCTCTCCCCCTGGGGCTCTGTGTGACTGGAAGGCTTAAGACAGTTCTTAAGGCTATTCCTTCTGCCTGGCACACCCTTCTCTGGGCTCTTCCCTCACCTTGCTGGTCACCAACAGAGACCATGCCACCCAAGGGTTGTCCTCACAATGTCCAACCTGATTCAGCTGCCACGGGCCACCTCACCAGGGTCTCTGCTTTGGTTTCAGCCCCTCCACATGTAGCACCCCGCTCCTGCTCAGGGGCTGTGAGTGGACCCGGGGGAGATAGCTGGCAGGCTGGCAGAACTCACCTTGTGCTGGGCCAGCTCTGGCAGCGAGCGGCGCACATGCTCCTGTAGCCGGTACAGTGCCACTGATGGCTCGTTGGCCAGCACATAGACGCTCTCAGTGAACTTGTCTGTGACTGGGTTTGACATGGTGGGGTGGAAATAAGGAACAAGTATTAGGCCCTTGTATTTATTTTGAATTGTGTGCACTTACATGCAGGTTAAGTGCAGATCCAGTGGAAGCCTAAAGAGCTGGAGTTAAGGTGGTTGTGACCTGCATGATGTGAATGCTGGGAACCAAACTCCAGTCATTTGTAGGACCACTAAGGGCTCTTAACCACTGAGACATCTCTCTAGCCTCTTTTTAAAAATACATTTTTAAGGATAGGGTCTCAGGTAGCCCAGGCTCTTTGTAACCAAGGATGACTTTAAACATCAATCCTTCACCTTCTGAGCACTGGGAATGCAGATGTGTGACACCACGCCTAGTTTTTGTGGAGCTGGACATGTAACCCAGAGTTTCATGCATGCTAGGCAAGCACTCTGCCAGCTGAGCCTCAGTCAGTCCTGACTGTTCAATCTTTGAGTGCCAGGGCGCACCCCCGTAATTGTCATCCATAGGCCCTGGGACAGCAAGAGGCGGTAACATCAGGGCCTAACTCAAGGGGACATCAGCACACACTGAACTCACAGCCTTTTCTCCCCAAACTCACTTTCAGGGGACACTGATGGACATTACTACTGCCACTGAGAACCCTTGGCTCCTCTGTAACATTATACTAGAGACCAGGAGGGAACATGGTACTAGAATCCAGCAGCTCTGTCTTCTCTGTAACTCACTGTGTAGACAGTCGCACTGGCTATTCCTTCTGCCTGGCACACCCTTCCCTGGGCTCTTCTCTCACCTTGCCTGTCACCAACAGAGACCATGCTGTCTCCTTCACAAGCCACCCAAGGGTCGTCCTCTGCCTGCCAAGCGCTGAGAAGAGAAGCATGTACTAACATGCCCAGTTGACCAGAAGATGAGCACAGAACCCAAAGGGGCCTGAACTCCACACCCTGGTGTGGTCTCTACTCTGCGATGGGAATGGTGTGGAAGGCCACATCCAACCCTGAGCTATACAAGCCCTGTCATATCAGTGGGCCTGCTGAGACTGCCCCCTACAGAATCATCCAAATTCCTGTTAAGCCCACCAGCTTCCTCTTCCCCAGAACTCATGTTTTTCCCACAAGTCAACTGCACATAAACCATCACCCCAGGGTAGAATTCGACTAAGGGCCTTCCCAGTCAGTCAAGTCTCCATTCTTCCGCTCCCCCACCGTCGCCCCTATAAAAGATCCTATTGCTTGTAACTGCACATTGTCCCGCCTCCTCCTGCCCATACCAGACCAGCTTTAACAACGGTCTCAGACCGCAGATGGTGCCAACTCCCAAGGCACAAATGACATAGGCCCCGCCTTTTTTTTAATCACTCAGGGATCCCACCAACCAAAAAAAATAACCCACTAATCCGGTCTTTATTTTGCAATGTTGGGGATCAAACCCACAGCCTTAAACATGCTCACAACTGAGCTACAGCCCCAGCTCTTCTCTTTGAGACTGAATCTCACTATGTAGACCAAACTGGCCTTCAATCTGCGATCCCGCTTCTTGTCTCTTGAGTGGAGAGGATTAGAGCATTATGCCACCAAACCCGCACGTTCGTTTACGTGTTCACTCGCTAAAAAACAAATTACAGTGAGTATGGAATTCCAGCTCTTGGGAATCAGATGATTTAGAGGCCAGCCTGGTCTACATAGCGAGTTCCAAGACAGCTGGGGCTACATACTGAGACCTTATCCCAGACGCACAGAAAGAGTGAGCACCTTTCTCTGCCCGGATTAACACTACACGGCTGCCACATCACCTCTCGCCGGGCGACACGAGCCTCCCTTTTCCGCCGAGCCCGGCGGGCCGGAAAGTCTAAGGCGGCTCACTCTGTCGACTACCTCCCCGCACTGCACTCTCCAGGCCCCGCACCCTCCAATGCTCCCGGGGTCCCGCAACACCTTTCTTTCCCTTCAGTTGCATCTCAGGTTCTTCCATAGCGAAGGCAGTCAGGAGAGTCCAAAAACCGGAACCGGAAGTCTGCAGGCTGGGACGTCTAACTAAACGTTCCGGGTTGAAACAGGCCGCTGCAAGCCTCCGTTTCTGATGTTCGGTGTCCTGTCTCCTCTTACGCGCCAGCTTCTATCCGGACATGGAGAGGAAAGAGGCAATCCAGGCGTGCGTGTGGAGGACAGTTTCCTGACGGTACAGGATACCTTCAAGTACTCCTTGCTACACATGCTGACAGTCCTCAGGAACCAAGGCAGAGAAATTGTTTAAAAAGAGGTGCCTTTAAATTCGGTAAGGCCCGCCCATGTCTCCGCCCCCGTCTGTAGACTGCTCCGCCCTCCATCATAAGTAGATCCGATTGGGGAAGGCAGCGGTAGGGGTGCGCGAGTTAGGGGAGCACATGCGCACTGAGATCCTCAGCCGGTCTAAGGCTCCTTTAGCCTTTACTAGAGATGGCATGCGCATGCGCTGCTGTATTTATTGGCCTCAGCGGAAGCCATGCCCCGCCTCTGGTCTTAAAAGGCTAGATGTTGCTTCGATTTTTTTGGCACTTTGGCAAGGATGCGCAGGCGCAGTGGAGGAGTTCAGTCGGACTAGCCGTCGCGTATTATTAAGTTGCTGCACTGTGTCCCAGCAGAGGAAGCTGGAGTGCTGAGCGTCGGTCACCAACCTGCTCCTCACTAGATCCACTGGACCAGAAAAGTTTGTGAATAGAGCCTTCCGAGTTTTGGGAGAGCCAGGCTGGGAGTGCAGGGGGACAGAGGAGGCTGGAGGGAGGTGAGTGGACCTCCGAGTCTCATCTTTTGTTGAGTCCTAAGTCATTTGGGGGCACCCCGACCTAAATAACGGCAGAGGAGCAGTGATAAGTTCAGTGTTAGTATCTGTGTGACCTCTCTGAGGCCTCACACCTTCACCTTATTAAGGAGGAAGAGGCTCAACTTACTCATAGACCAGGTTTTCACAGCTTGTCAATGGAACCCAGACCGCTATCCGAAGCTCGATTTTGTTGCCTGGTACAAGTACCTTGGATTCTGGTGTTAATTTTTTAGCAATGTTAATTATGTAAAGCCCCAGTTTTCCCACCCTAATTTGCAAGGCTGAGGAGTATGCAGCCATGCCGTGTGAGTGTGTGTGTGTGTGTGTGTGTGTGTGTGTGTGTGTGCGCGCGCGCGCGCGCTTGCCCCCGACACGCGCATGCTTGACATAGGGTCTTTCTAACATAGCTTTGGCTGTCCTGGAATTCATTATGTATACTAGCCTGGCCTTGAACTCAAAGGGATCTGCCTGCCTCTGCCTCCCAAATGTTGAGACTAAAGGTGTGTGCCACCATGCTCGACCTAACCAAGCCCCAGCACCTGGTAAGATCTCATTTATTAATTTATTTTGGGAGATGGAACTGCTGTGGAGTTGGTGTAGAGGTCAGAGGACAACTTATTGGCGTCAGTTCTTTCCCTCCACCATGTGCGTTCCTGGAATCAAACTCGGTCATCTGGCCTGGTGACAAGTGCCTTTACCAACTGAGACATCTTGGGGGCCCAAGAGCTTTTGATAATTACTTTCATCTTTTCACTCCAGCTTCCTCCATGGAGCCCACTCAGCTTGCAGAAAATCTCATCCCAAACCAGCAGTCCCCTGCTCCCGAACTTAAGGATCCTGAGGACCCCAGAGATGAATCCCCAGATAGTTCAGACACTGTCGTCCTCAGTCTGTTCCCCTGCACCCCAGAGGCTGTGAATCCTGAGGCAGATGCCAGTGCGTCCTCACTGCAGGGTGAGAACCACTCTGGGCTTTGGTGAGGGAGCCTGGCAAGTTCCTATCAACCCTCTGTCCTTACGGCTCTTCCCCCTCCACCCTCCTAGGTTTTTATTGTAGTGTGTGTGTGTGTGTGTGTGTGTGTGTCAGGGTGATATATGTGCATGTTCCTGAGAGAGTGTGTTCACACTGGTACATGCACATTTGTGTGTATATGCATGGAGACCAGACATCAACACATTAATTCTTCAACAGCTTTACTCCCATATCTATCTGTACACACACACACACACACACACACACACACACACACACACATAAAGTTTTGCCTGGCAAAACTTTAATCCTTGTTCTCAGGAGACAGAGGCAGGTAAATCTCTGGGATTTTAAGGCTACCTTGCTTTATATAGGGAGTTCCAGGACAGCCAAGGCCACATAGAGAAACCATCTTCAAAAGGGTGGTGGTGGGTAGAGAGATAGCTGAGTTGTTTAGAGCACTTATTCTTTCAGAGGACATGGGTTCAATTCCAACCACCCAGAATTGCTTATAACAATCCTAACTGCAGTTTCAATCCAAATCCCCCCAGAAATCCAATGACTTTCTCTGCCATCTGAGGACAACACACACACACACACACACACAGTACATACATATATATGTAAGCAAAACATATACATGAAATAAACTAAATAGGACAGGACTGGAGAAATGGCTCAGAGGTTAAGAGCACTGGCTCCTCTTCCAAAGGTCCTGAGCTCAATTCCCAGCAACCAAATGGTGGCTCACGGCCATCTATAGGGTGATCTGGTGCCCTCTTCTTGCCTGCAGGCACAAATGCAGACAGAACACTGTATATATAATAAGTTTTTTAAAAAAGGAAAGAAACTAAATAAATCTGAACAAAAAAGTTTTGAAGGATTTTAAATGTTTTGAGTATTTTGCTGCATGCATGTGTTCTGTTGCATGCAGTGCCTGAGGGAGCCAGAGGAGGGCATCTGAATCCCTTGAAATAGGATGCTGCAGCTCGGACCTGGGCTCTCAACCTCTGAGAACTAGCTTGGCAACCTTTTAGATTACATCTCTCTATCAATCTGTCTGTCTATCTATCTATCTATCTATCTAATGTGTGTATGAACATACCATGCCACAGGTCACAGGTGCAGAGGACAGAAGACAATTCCAAGTATCAATTTCCTCTTTCCACCTCCTGGGTCCTAGGGAGGACTGGGTGCCCGGTCTTTGCTTCCACCTATGTTCAAGGCAGGGTCTTTGAACCTGAAGCCGAGGCTGATTCAGCTAGACGTGTTAGCTCTAAGGCTCTGCCTGTCTTTTTCCCTCCAGTGCTGGGGTTACATAGGTAAGCAGCCAGGGTCCAATTTAGTGAACTTTGGCACACTAAGCAGTTTGTGCCAACATCACTTCTGTGTAGTTTGAGAAGACAGCCATCACTGCAGGAGAAAACTTCCAGTCCCCAGGGTGCACTGTCCAGTCTTCCTAGTACCCTCTACCAGCTTCTTTCTCTTTCTGTCTGTGGCAGGGTCTCACTGTGTAGCCCCAGCTGGCCTTAAATTTGTGATTTCCCTCCTGCTTCTATTTCCCCAGGACTGGGGTGATTGGTTGTGTCCCTAAAACCTGTTTGTTCTATGGCCTTTTTACTTCTCGTTTTTATTTACTTTTTTTTTTTTTTTTTAAATCAGGGTTTTTCTATATAGCTGTGGTGCTCCTGGAACTTGCTCTGTAGACCAGGCTGGTCTCAAACTCAGAGCTCTGCCTGCCTCCACCCCCTGAGCAGTGGGATTAAAGGTGCAATCACACCGCCTGGTCTCACCATTATTTATATTCTTAAAACATTTACACGCATGGGTGTTTGCCTGCGTGCTTGTCTCTTCAGCACGTACACGCCCAGTCCCCACAAAGGCCAAAAGTGGCCATCGGATCCCCTGGAACCGGAATTGGTTTATGTTGTAAGACAACATGGGTGTGGTGAGCCAAGCCCAGGTTCTCTGGAGGAACAGCTAGTGTTCGCAGCCACAGAGCCACGTCCGCAGTTTAGTGAAGTGTAGTGCAGGTGTCCACAGAGGCCAGAGGCATCGGGTGTGCTGGGCTGAGAGGTTACAGGCAGCTGTGAGCCACCTAACACAGGTGCTGGGACCCAGACCCAGGACCAAAGGACCAGACCCAGGTCCTTTGGAAGAGTAGCGAGCACTCCTAACCAATGAAGGACCTCCAGCCTGCTGTTTCCTTTGTTTTGTTTTGTGCTGGGAGTTTAGCCCATGTGTTAAGCCAGTGCTGCTTCACTGCACTGTGCTAGGTCGAGGCTTCCACCTCCTCCTGCTGCTTCTTTGCCAGAGTTCTGTTCCGCAGTCCCAACACGCCTAGACATCACTGTGTAGCCAGACTTGTGATCTGTTGGTCCAAGCCTCCTGAGTGGGTGGGAACATGGCCTATGCTACTGAGGCCTGCTCTTTTCACCCTTTGTTTAAAAGTATTATTTTATAAGCTGGGTGGTGGTGCCTCACACCTTTAATCCCAGCACTTGGGAGACAGAGGCAGGCAGATCTCTGTGAGTTCTCGACCAGCCTGGTCAACAAAGCAGGTCGAGGACAGCCAAGGCTATATACAGAGAAACCTGTCTCAAGCCCCTCCCCCAAACATCAAAAAAAACAAACATACATTTCTTTATTTACTGCTGTTAATGTCTGTGTGTGAATGTGGGTGCGCACGTGGAGATTATAGGGTGGGCTCCTAAGCCCAGAGCCTGCAGTGTCTGTCCAGACACCCTCGGGACATGGACACCAGGGTGACAGGCCTTCCTCTCCCTGCAGGAAGCTTCTTGAAGCACTCCACGACCCTCACAAACCGGCAGCGTGGGAATGAGGTCTCAGCTCTGCCAGCCACCCTGGACTGTGAGTGGAACTCAAGTGGGTTTGGGCTAAACGATTCCCTATGAGGCTGGCCTGGCACTCCATGGCCCTGCATTTAGGAGGTGGGAGCAGGGAGGTCAGAAGTTCAAAGTCATCCCTAGCTATTTACTGAGTTGGAGGCCAACCTAGATAAAGGAAGGGAGGGAGGAAGGAAAGAAGGAAGGAAGGAAAGAAAGAAAAGACCACTAGGGATTAAGGAATGTAACTCAGTTGGTAGGGTGCTTGTGGCTCGGGATAGAGTGCTCACCCAGCATACAGATACCTTGAGTCTCAGGCCCCTCATAAACATAGTAGCATGTTCTTGTCATCCCAGCACTCAGAAGGATCAGCAGTTCCAGGTCATCCTTGGCTACGTGTAGCAAGCATGTAGCAAATTGTAGCAACATGAGATCTCAAAAGGAAAAGCCCGAAAGAGGATCAATTTTGAACAGGTAAACTGAGACCCGGAGAGGGAGTGGAGTATGAACACTGTGCTTGTCTCTGTTCCCCCAGCCCTGTCTATCCACCAGCTTGCAGCCCAAGGGGAGCTGAGCCAACTGAAGGACCATCTGCGGAAGGGTGCGTGTCCCGCGTTGCCGGCATGCACATGCCTGACTGGGAGAGGAACTTGGGAGAGTGGCTTGTGTGCAAATGTGTGTTTATGTAAGGGTCCCCTTCATGGGCCCCCTGACCCTGCCCACCCACTCATGAGTGCTGGCTCTCTTGCTCTATCCTTTCCACTTGTCAGGCGACAACCTGATCAACAAACCAGATGAGCGTGGCTTCACCCCCCTCATCTGGGCCTCAGCCTTTGGAGAAATTGAGACAGTTCGCTTCCTGCTCGACTGGGTACGTCGTTGGAGGGGTGGAGGGGTGCAGGAGCAGGCCGGGGGGTGCAGGGGCAGGCCGGGGTCTCGGCTTCTGAGGCTGCTGCCTTGAAGACGGGCTGCCCTACTTAGGGACTCTGGGATCTCGGGGGTCTCATCGCTACCCTCTCTGCTCTCCTAGGGTGCTAACCCCCACATCCTGGCCAAGGAGCGGGAGAGCGCCCTGTCCCTGGCCAGCATGGGCGGTTACACGGACATCGTGAGGCTGCTGCTTGAGCGTGACGTGGACATCAACACCTACGACTGGGTGAGGCACTGCCTCACACATCTCCTGCCACCCCAGACACAGCCTCCTGCCTTCCACTCCGGCTCCCCAACATGGGTGCAGTTCCTGCAAGGTGCCAGGCCTGCCCTGGGCTCTAGGAACATGAGACAACTGTCCTCACACCTGATCCGTGTTCCCAGTGCCTAGGAGACAGATACAGAAAGAATGACCACAGCTGTAACGGCAGGCTTACAGGCAGCTGCAAGAGCTTTGAGGCAGCTGAGAAGTCAGGGAGGGCTTCCTGGAAGAATGGGCATCTAAAGAGACTCAGAACAGAAAGAGCCAGCCGAGGTGGGAGGCAGGAAGTAGGCTGACTTGGCAGCTGGAAGGCAGGGACAGAGCACTGAGACGGCATTCATTGGTGTTCACATGATCTTATCTCATAGAACGGGGGGACCCCACTGCTCTATGCTGTGCGTGGAAACCACGTCAAGTGTGTGGAGGCTTTACTGGGTGAGTCAGTGCCCCCAGGCCCCTGTGGGACTCCGAGGGTAGACGAGGAGGTAGAGTATGAGGGTTTTTGTGTTGGATCCAGTCAGTCATGTTGAGCCCAACCCTCCATGCCCAAGAGACTGTAAACCCTGTTCTTTCGGTGGGGGTTGCTGAGGTCGGGCCCCTGCCCAGGGCTGCATGGACAAAGGGCAGACCTTTAGCTCTCATGGGGGAGGGTCACTCCAGCCCTAAGTCCCAAGCCCGTTCCTCTTCACAGCCCGAGGAGCTGACCTCACCACAGAGGCCGACTCCGGCTACACCCCAATGGATCTCGCGGTGGCCCTGGGATATCGCAAAGGTGGGCTGAGGGGCCATGGATGGGGTGGCCTCAGGGGGGCACAAAGGATGGTCCCCGGGGGTGCCCAGGCCCTTAGCACCAGGCAGACCTCCTCATCCTGGCTCTTGGGCTGCGGTAGGACACCAGACCATGTCAAGGACAGAAGCCACTCTGGGGAACACAGACACAGAGATACAAATAACCCCAGCCCAGGGTAGGTGTGGATCTTAGTCATCCCGTCCACCTGCCTCACAGCGCTGGGGGTGGAGCCCCAGCCTTCTATCTGTTTCTGTTGCTATAACAGAATACCAGAGATAGGGTGACTTATTTACAAAATATATATATATATATATATATATATATATATATAAATTTTATTTGGATTCATGGTTCTAGAGGCTGGGAGAGCTACGATTCAGAGGGTAGAGGGAGACAAGGGCCTTGCCTTGAAGCAACCGATCTCAGCATAGCGAGCCCAGCCATTGTGAGCGGCCTCCTGCATCTGTCTCCCTTCCCTCCTGCTCGCTGCCTCCATTTACACGTGCGGCTGAACAGCCTCTCCAGGCCCCTCTCCCAGCTCACGCCACCTCCTGCCTCCTCCCACAGTGCAACAGGTGATGGAGAGCCACATCCTCAAACTTTTCCAGAGCAGCCTGGGGCCTGCCGACCCCGAATGAAGACAGCCTGTCGGGAACCCAGGCACTCAGGGATGAACCAGTCAGCCCACACTGTATTGAAAGGCAGCTCCTGGACAGTGGCGGGAAGGCCTCCCCAACAGGAACCAATAAATCTGTGCAGAACTTGAAGGACTTCTAGGTGCCTCCCAGGGGGCTTCCTGGAGGAGGTGGCCGGCGAGACCTCTCACACTGCCTTCTCACCAAGCACCCGTAAGTGGTAGATGACCACTCGGCCAAAAAAGTCAGTGGTGTCTTCAAAAGTCAACTTCAGCCGGTCCACCTCCACAGTGGGGGTACAGAAGGCGTGACCTCGTGCAGTCAAGGAAATGGTGGTTTGTTTCTGACCCATCCATCCCCACTTTCCCAGTTCAGACCACCCAACGGGCCAGGTGACTGCAGACCCTTGGTGCCACTCATACCCAGCAAGAAATCAACAGCACCTTATTTATTGATTGAGAGGGGTCTCGCCCCAGCTGGCCTCAAACTCACTGTGCAGCGGAGGATGACCTTGAACCCCTGACGCTCCTGCTTTCACCTCCAGAGCACTGAAGCCCCTTGCAATAGCTCCTACTCAGGTGTAGGAGGCCAACGCCTTTATCCTCTTACTTTGGTCATGTGGCCAGGCTGGCCTGGCCGTCTAGATCCTTTCACCTTAGCCAACCAGTGCACGTCCGACCACACCCAAAGAACCAAAGCTTCCAGGGCCCTCCCACTGCAGTCCACGCAGGATATCTGAAGAGCATTGGTGTCCTCAGGGTAGAAATCTGCAATCTTGCAGAGGGCCTCCCCACCCCGCGACCCTGCAGTGGAGAAAGCGGGGTTGAGAATTCGGGGACCCTCTAACACCCACCTCTCACGGTTTCCCAGTACCTTCCAGGCGGCTGTGGCGACTGGAGAAGCCACCCTGGAACTGCACCTGCAGCTGTGTGACGTGAACGCGCTGGGGAAACTCAAGTGTCACCCACTGGGAGGGACCCTGAAAGCAGATGGGTAAACTGAGGCTCTTGGTAACTACAAGGTCAGGGCCCCATTACGTCCTGTTCATCTTTCAAGTCTCAGTGCCGCAGCCAGCGCCCGGAATGTGTGAGCACCCCGGCTTTTTAGGTCTCCCCAAAGTGCAAGGCACCCTGCACCCCTGAATCTAATTCGAAGTTGGGATGGAGGAGCATGGAAGCAGCTCACCTGGTCAGAATTCCAGCACGTCTCTTCATTCTGGTCAAAAAGGTGTTTCTTTCCAAATTGCCGGCTGTTGCGATTAAGCACAGAACTGACCCTGCAGGACAGGAAGCCGGGCTAGAGGCTTTCCGGACGGCCGTCTCAGGAGCGTCTACCCGCTAGTCCTCCGGGCCGGCCGGCCCCGCCCCCTGCAGCCAGGAACACCCGCAGGCGGGGACACCAGCACGCGGCCCCGCCCCTAGCCTGCTCCAGGCAGCAGGGCCTGACCCCACCGCTCAGCTCCCGCTTCATCCGTCCCCGCCAGGCCCACACTTCCCGAGTCTCACCTGCTCACGGTCCCGGGGCAAACCAAAGACTGCGTCATCTCCGCTCTGCGACGCCCCGCTCAGCACGGACGGCGAGTTCGACGCCCGGCGCCGCTACTCCCCACTTGATCTAGCCCCTCGGTCAGCCCTATCCGGCCAGGCGGGCGATCGGAGACCCGAGGGAGACCAAAAGCCAGCCTAGCCCCCACTGCGCGTCCGCGAACCCGGAACCGCGTGCGGGCAGCGCACGCGCAGTGCAGCACAGACCCTGCCCCGTTCGCGGCCCGGGGCGGGGCTATGCGCCTCCGTTTCGCCCCTTAAAGGGCCCTCACCCTACGGTTTCTGGTGGATCTAGAGGGATAGCGCAGATCTTGAGGCCACAAGATGTTCTCACCGCCTTCCTGTGTCGTCTGCCTCCCGGGCCTCGCTCTCCCTGGACGCAGCCTGGGAGCCCAGCATCCCACTGCCCTCCTAAGAGGCCAGAAGCGCCAACACGCTCAATTTAGCAATATCTGCCCAAAAAAAATTTAATATATTTTTTGAGACAGGGTCTCGTTGTGTTGACTTGGCTGCCTCGAACTCACTGCGCAGATAATGGTCGCCTGGAATTCCCAGAGTTCCTCCTGCCTTTGTCGCCTGGGTTCCGAGATTAAAGGCATGCACCTCCACACTCCGTGCTGGGATTATTATTATTTTTTCATTAAAACACTCTATTTAATGTATAATGAGTCTTTTGCTTAAATGTTTGTATACCATGCATGCCTGCTACCTGTCCATGCCTCTCCTGTACTTGCTTCCAGTGTGGCTGTTGGGAACTGAATGTTGGCCCTCTGCAAGAGCGGGAAATGCTCTCAACCACTCTCCATACCCAAAAAATAAATACATTTTTTTAAATTATATTTATTTGTATGTGGAAGTCAGAGCACAACGTGTAGGAGCGTCTTTTCTCCTACCTTGTGGGCCCTGGGGATTGCACAGTCAGGCTGCTTTACCCTCTGAGCCGTGTCCTCCGCTAAGGATGTCAGTGCCAGCAGGCTGCCCAGAAAGTGCGGCGCTGGGTTCCATCACCAGCACCGAGAGAAGGATAGATCAGTTAATGGAAGGCTTCCTCAAAGAGTTGGCTTGAGGTGGGTTTGTGGGATGAAGAGGGGTTTGTTCCATTGGGAACCAAAGAAAACAAGACACAGACACCCCAGACCTCATGGGTTCAGGGATGAACCACAAAGTCTATGTGATTGGAGGGGTTTTCTGGGCGAGACCATGAGGGCTGGGAAAGGTTCCCACTCAGGAACTAGGAAAGCCAGGGCACAGGCTCAGGAGACAGACTACAGATCTGAGTGAGACCTGCGGAGCCCAAGCTGCTGGTCTGGAGCAGCTTTGGGGAGACAGTGGAACCCCAGCCTCTCTGAATGAAGGCTCTTGACATAGAGCAGCCCCTGGGCTTAAATGGTCTCTGATTTTTCCTCTTTCTGTGAAGGCCAGAAGGGTTCTCTGGCGTCTCCCAAATCCATCCCCGGAAGCAAGGCTGGCAGAGTAACTGGGTCACCGTCAGGAGGGCTGCCCTGCTAGCCTGCAAATGCCAGGACTTCCTGCCAGGGTCCAGACCCAGCTTAGCTGTTCTCTGAGCCCTATGGAGGAAGCATATGTAGTCAAAAGCTTGGCTGTGTGATCTCAGGCGAACCTTTGACCTCTGAGCTCAGCTTCCTGTCTGTGAACAGTAAGCTTTTTGAGTTGACCCCCAGTAACAATTACATTTGAGACATTGGGGCTCGTAGAAACGTCTGTTTCCAGGCACAGGCTCATCAATACCCTGTCCATGGCTGTCTGTGTCACCTCTATGGCACTGAACACAAGAAATGTGGCCGTGGTGCCTGGAGAGGCTGCTCACAATCCCAGCTGCCGTCCTTCCTGCTCCTGGCCCTGGCAAGAGGCTGCCAGGCTCCTGGGACACCGCCAGCCCTACTCTCTTCCCGCCGCCTCCTCACCCCACTGGCGCCTGGGCATGAAAGAACCTGCTGTTTCCCCAGGGAATTAGTAGCTCTGGGTTCCCAGTGAGGCAACCAATGAGGTCCATTCATCCCCCTGAGTCAGGGAGCCTGAGAGCCACCTCCTTCCCACCACTTTCCAGCGCTGAGGCAGGGAGAGTGCCAGAGGGACAGGGTCCACCTACAACCCATCCCCAGGCTGGCTGTCTCCCGTTTTTTGTTGTTGTTTTGTTTTTTGTTTTTTTTCTGAGACCAGGCTGGCTTCAGACTCAGAGCTTCACCTGCCTCTGCCTCCTCAATGCTGGGAATAAAGGTGTGCACTGCTGTGCCTGGCTTTCCTTTTTATTGATGTGCTTAATTTATGAGATGGGTTGTTTTGTTTGTTTGTTTGTTTTATTTATTTTTTAGCTCAGCCTGGCCTCCAATTCACCATGTAGCCAAGAATCCTCCTCAGGTGGTTGGCAGCTTTGTGTATGAGGTCCACGTGTGACCTTGGCTCCATTCCCGGACGATTAGAGGAACACTGCTTCTGAGACCTGTCTGCTCAGGATGTGTGGCCACTAGGCCATTCATCCCTCCCTCACCTCATCTCCTGATGGCAACCTCAGGGTGCTGGCGACAAAAAGGGCCTTCCAGGCTGGAGGTGGGGACTATAAATAGCTCTTTGAGCCTTGCAGATTCCCAAGCAAGCTTCCCTCACTCCAGGCCCCAGCAACAGCAGGTCTGGGCCCCAGGCCAGTCCCTCTCTTTTTAGCCCTGGCACCAGCCCAGGAATGGGGTTGGTGAGGAGCCAGAGGGTCAGCTTGGCTCTGGGGCCTCAGCCCAGGTCTGTATAACTTCAGGCAGGGCACCCCATCGCCCCAAACCTCAGTTTCCCCAGTAAACTTCAAAATGAGCAACAAGATGGGTAGCCCTGCTTGGTATGGTGGTTTGTCTCATCCTAGCACTCAGGAGGTGGAGGCAGGAGGATCGGGGAGTCAAGCTCCTCCTCAGCTGCCGAATGAGCAGCATTGGCTGGTACTTGCTCTTAAAAAGTACAAATCAGCAAACACACACACACACACACACACACACACACACACACACACACACACTTCCTGTTTCATTCTCCTAGCAATCTATGGAGGCTACTTGTATTTTTGGTTAAGATGGGTAAACTGAGGTACAGAAGAATGAGATGGCTGGTCCAGAGTGGCACCATTATGAGTGGTAAAGACAGCAGTTTGCCCCCCTCCAATTATTAATTCAGTATATTTCTTGTGTTCGTTTGTTTGTTTGTTGAGATAGGCTTTCTCTGTGTAGGCCTGGCTGACCTGGCTGGCCTGGAACTCAGAGCTCCGCCTGCCTCTGCCTCCTGAGTGGTAGGATTAAAGGTGTCACCACTGTCTGGCCAAGACATCTTTTTTCTTTTATTATTTGTTCTCAAAATATACGTATTATATTTCGTTTGTGTGACTGTTTTGCTTGTATGTATATGTACCATGTGTGGGCTTGGTGCCCTTGGAGGCCAGAAGAAGGCATTGGATGCTATGGAACTGGAGTTACAGATGGTTGTGGGTGCCGGGAAACAAGCTGGGATCCTCTGCTGAGACACCTCCCCAGCCCAGCAAGGCAGGTCCTATACTTTATCCTAGTGCTGAGGATGGAACCCAGGCCTTTCCCATGCCAAGCACGCACTCTGCCCCTGAGCCACACCTCAGCCCCTCACTGAGGGATTCTAGGCAGTTCTATTACTGATCCAAGCTCTGAACATTTTATCTCTTTCTTAAGTTTTTGTTTTCAAGTCAGGGTTTCTCTGTGCAGCCTTGACTATCCTGGAACTCTGCAGGCCAGGCTGGCCTCACGTGCAGAGATCCATGTGCCTCTGCCTCCCAAGCGCGAGGACTAAAGGTGTGCACCACCACCTATTTTTTTCTTCTTGCTGTTGTTTGTTTGCTTGCTTGCTTGTTGGGATTGAATCTTACTTTGGCTGAGTTGAGCCTGGAAAGAGCTGTGTAACCCAGGCTGTCCTAAAATTATGACTCTCTCAGCATTTCAACATTTCAAATACAGAGTTGGGGATTTCGCCCAGAAGGCCCTGGGTTTGGTCCTCAGCTCTGGGAAAAAAAAAAAAAAAAAAAAAAAGGACAAAATAACACCTCAAACACTAGGGTGACAGTGTTGTGCGCTGTCACACCCAGTATTTTGTGGTGACAAATTTCAGAGGGTTTGTAATTTGCTCTGATGGAGGTGAGTTCACTGAGGGGGGTGAGGGGCAGAGACGGCTGGTTCACCTTGATTTGACTGTCAACTTGACAGGCTCCAGACCCAGGAAGAAAATGTTTCCCTACGGGAACAAACCTTTGGCCATGTGGGAACATCTAGATTAGTGGATTGGGTGGTAAGATCCACCCTAAATGGAGGTTGTACCTTCCATGGGCTCAGAACCTGGACAGAGAAAGACTGCTGAGGAGGAGGAGGAGGAGCAGGAGGAGGAAGAGCAGCAGCAGCCGCACGCAGCCTTTGCAGCTGCCTCATGTGCCTGCACGTGCTTCCTTGCCATCATGGCCTGCACCGTGCACTTTGAGCCACAGCAACCCCTTCTTTCCTCATGTAGGATTGTCAGATATTTTGTCCCAGCTACCAGACAAGTACAACTCAGGAGTGTGCGGTGAGGACTGAGCGCATCACAGTGCATGAAGATTGTTATTCATTGGAGGACGTGCACACATGCCACGGTGTGAATGTGCAGGTCAGAGGTCAATGTGCAGGAGTCAGTTCTCTCCTTCCACCATGGGGTACCAACTCAACTCATGCCTGCTGCCTTTACTTTAGAGCATCCTCTGCAAAATTTGCCTCTGTGTTTTATTTTATTTCATTATTTTAAAAGAACTTTTCCTCAGGGAGGCAGAGGCAGGCAGATCACTGTGAGTTCGTGTCCAGCCTGGTCTATGAAGTGAGTCCAGGACAACTAGGGGTACACAGAGAAATCCTATCTCAAAAAACCAAACCAAACCAAACAAAAAACTTTGTGTGTGTGTGAATATGTGTGAGTGTGTATGTTTGAGTGTGATTTCCATGCTCAGCCAGTCTCAAGAACAAACTAAACCACGGCTGGAGGGCTAGGACCAAGGCTCGGTGGATAGCCTACTTGCCCAGCGTACTCAAAGCCCCGGAGTTCCAGCCCAGCACCACCACACCACAGCAAGTTCTAGCCCAGGCTGAGAGATATGGGACCTGGCTTTGTGTTTTAAAGCAGGTGGCAGGTCCTGAGAAGCAGCCAGGCAGCTAAGAGCACTTGCTGATCTTGTGGAAGACTCAAGCCGGGTTGTGCCCCAGGGGACCTGGCTCCTTCTGACTTCGTAGTTATTCACACACAGACACACACACACTCCTACACCTAAATAGGAGAAAATCTTATGAACAATCACAACCAGCAAAACAATGACAAGGATGGGTGTGGTGGTATACACCGGAATCCTGTTGCTCTGGAGCAGAGACAGGAGGATCATTTGAAGTTCAAGTCTAGCCTAGGCTACATCATAGCCCGTCCATAGCAGCCAGGATAATATGTTGAGCTCTTGTCTCAAAGCAAGCAAATAACAAACAAACAAAACCCTGCAGCCAGTAGTGATCCTGCGGTGAGGCCGGCTTGAGAACTTTTACAATAGTTTAAGATCACAACCTCTTCTGCTTTTAAAATAGTTTTAAATATTTTATTTATTTATTATTTGTGCAGTATTCTGCTTGCATGTGTGCCCACAGGCTGTGCTTGCTGGGAGTTGAATTCAGGACCTTTGGATGTATAGCCAATGCTCTTAACCTCTGAGCCATCTCTCCAGCCCCCTCTTCCTCTAATGAAATTTCACACCTTGAGAGAAAGCCCACTTGCCTGCAGCAGTCACTCCCAGCCCCATTCTATTTTCTGACTCTGTTGATTGGACCATTCTGGACATTTCCTGTCTTGGGGCCATTCAAGATGCAGTCTTCTGTGCCTGTCTGTCCCTGACAGCTCGGCATCACTGTTTCCAGGTTTCTCCTTGCAGTGTTGTGTGTAGAACTTTTCACAGCTTAATAATATTCCATTCAGAATTCTAGATTTGTTCTGCTTCCTTTGGAGACACATTTTGTAGTCTAGGCTGATTGTGGACTCAGGATCCTGTGCCTTAGCCTGCTGAGCGCTGGTTCCACTGGTGTGTGCCCTGTTGTCTGGATAAAAGTACACGTGGTTGGGGTGAAGGTCAGATGTCCACATGGAGTTTCTCCCTCTATTTCTCTCCAATGTACTTGTTTACCCATTAATTTGTGTTTGAGGCTTGCTCACCATTTTTGGCTAGACTAGCTGGCCCCAAAACACAGGGCTCTGGCGCTCTGGGCCAGGCAGTGGTGGCACATATCTTTAGTCCCAGCACTCAGGAAGCAGAGGCAGACAGATCTCTGATTTCGGGGCCAGCCTGGTATACGGAGCAAGTTTCAGGATAGCCAGGGCTACACAGAGAGACGCTGTCTCAAAAACACAAAAAGCAAAAAACAACAAAAAGACTGGCCCTAGAGGCATTGTAAGAGTGGCTGCTGTGTCGCATGAGCGTCACTAGGTGGCAGGGAGGAGAGAGGCCATGTCTGAATTCAGTCTTCTGACCTGTGAACCTGAAAAAAGCAAACCTAAGAAGACCACCAGACCAGCGCCCCACAGGCATGGGGGCGGGCAGAACATGCTTGAGATGACCCCGGACACTCAGAAACACCAGGCGCCACTGAGATGAGCAAGTGAGTGATAAAGCAATGGAAGAGAAAGAGACACGGAAGGATGTGCGCACAATAAAGACGCAGAACTGGAGGGCAGCAAGGAACAGCCTGATGTGAGCAGCCAGTGATGCTGCCCGGAACCATGGGCAGATTCTGACCTGCTGCCACCAGGGGCCACACATCTGGGTCCAAGGCCCTGCTGCAGCAGGAGGTCCATTACCACTAAAGGCCAGGCAGTTGCCCCTGGTGTGGGCTGCCACCTGGGGACATGTTGATGTCTGAGGGCTGTGCAGAACCGGCCCCACCCTCACCTGGGCATCCTGGCATGGCAGGTGAGCTGGCCCTGAGGCTATGGGTGTGGAGGAGCTGGCTCTACCATACATGAGGGCTATATTCCCTTCAGTCCTGCCTATCTCCTCACCACAGGCAGAAGCCCTCGCCCTGAGGTCATGAGAGCAGGAGAGCTGGCCCTGCCTCTCATCAGTAGCAACACTTGGGAGAGCAGGCCCTGCCCCTCACCTGGTCAGCAACAGCAGAGCTGGCCCTGGTGGCAGGGACACAGGCGAGCTGGTCCTGAGGGCATGAGCATGGAAGAGCTGGCCCACCACTTGTCTGCTGTGCGTGACATGGGAGGGAGAGGTGCCCCCTCTTGCCCCTTGTCACCTATTGCAGGCAGGAGAGCAGGCCCTGCCCCTCACCTACTGCAGCACTATGGAGATCCTGCTGTGGATGTAGGGCTGCAGGTGAGCTGGCCCCAGCGATGTAAAAGAGGCAGAGCTGGTGGGCTGATCAGCTCAGACACCCCTCAGGCCCAGATCCAGGACTCTGAGGCGGCCCACCCCAAAATCTACCCCATCGATGAAGAGACCAGTCCTACAGATCCAAAACTGCAGGGTCTCCATGACATAGGGCAGCAACAGGATATCTGAGAGGGGTCCCAGTGAGGTTCCAGTGTCGATAGAGCAGCAGAAGCCAGAGGCCTCATGCCGGACTAACGAGTCATTGTAATGAACATTTGCAAGCAAAGAAGTGTGGACAAAAGGGTATACTGTCAACACTACAGCTTCCACAGTGAGATTTTTTCTCTGTTGGGGGGGATGGCAAGGATGGAGGGTGAGTATGAGGGGAGGGGAAGATGAGTGGGATTGGAGTGCATGATATGAAATTCACAAAGAACCAATAAAAAGTTAAAAAAAAAAAGACACAGGGCAGGCTCCACCTCTCTCTGCCCCCACTGGGGCAGAGACCCCAAACCCAGCCACCAAACCCAGCTTCTACATGGGTGCTGGGGCGAGACAAGCACTTCACCCATGAGCCCCTTCCTGACACCCACCCCCACTGCTTTTGAGGCTGTGGTCTCATGTAGCCCAGGCTGGGCTCTGATTTGTGTGAAGCTGGAGATGAACCTTGAACTCCTGATCCTCCTGACTCCCCACCCCAGCCCCTAAAATTTTGGCTTTTAAAGAACAAGAACCAAGATGTCCCACATTCTCCTGCCCAAAGTAGGAGTATCCTAAACACGTGGCCTTGTGTGCACCATTAAATGATGATAGGACAAAGTGACTGAGTGAGTGACTGAGTGAGTGAGTGAGTGAGTGAGTGAGTGAGTGAGTGACTGAGTGAGTGACTGAGTGAGGAGTGACTGAGTGAGGAGTGACTGAGTGACTGAGTGAGGGAATGAATGGAATGAACATGGCTGGGCCGCTGGAGCAGTTCTGCCGTTAGCAGAGCCAGGCTTGATGTGATGACTTAACGTTTTCTATTTTGTTATTTGTTATTTTGTGTGAGGTTGTGGAGGTCAGAGGACAAGTAGCAGGAGCCTTCTCTCCTTCCACCCGTCGGCCCCGGGGTTGGCAGCAAACCCTTTTTTATGTCACTGGCTCTCTGGTGACTCTTGGCAGCAGTGTGACCCAGCGCCTCCTCCCATGCCCATTTCTGTTCCAGGAATGGTTGACTGTCCTTGGAGTCTTGGAGAGTCCATTACCAATCTCCACTCTGCCCTTTCCCTCTGAGTGACCTTGGCAACATTCTTAACTCCCTGAGGCTCAGTTTTCCCACCTGTAAATTGGAGACGGCGGCCTGGTGAGGCAGGACGGGCTATTTAATGACCTGCTAAGCGGGCAAAGAGAATGGAGGCGGAGTCAGATGTTGCCAGCCCTCGGGCCCGTCCCGACAGACGTGAAAGGAATCTCAGGCAGGCAGCCGCCCTCCCAAACGCTGCTGGAGGCCTGGGGCTGCGCATGCGCACGGCATCCCTGTGGTCCTTTATAAGTGAGGAGGCTGCGCCTGGCGTGCTGAGCGCCAGGCGCTGGGGCTGAAGGAGCACCCGAAGCCCGGCGGCTCGTCCTTTGTGCCCGGAGCGGTGGGAATGCATCCGCGTTAAGGAGCCAGGTGTGGGGGCCTGGCAAAGAAGGGGGGCAGCAGAGAATCGGACTTGGGGAGGACTGACCAGGATGAAGGAGAAGCCCCTCTCCCAGATGGAGATGGGCAGGGAACGGTGGGGGAGGGGGAGCCAAGTTTTTTGAGGGGGGGGGCGCGGAACGCATGAGGGGCGGTCTTAGTGGTGTTGGGAATGGGATTCTTGAATGAAAAAAAACGTCTCTCCCCACCCCCCCGTGGGGAGGGTCCCTGGCTAAGGATAGTTCTCTGGATCAAGCAGGAGTCGCTGAGAGCTAGGGCTAGGGCAGGGGCACTCCGAGTTTGGAGAAAAGACAAGGGCATCCTGCGCATGACCAGGATGTCTTGGGACTGGGGACCCTGGTGTCTTAGCTGAAACACCCAGGGAATTTGAAGTGGGGCCCTCTAATTTACACATGAATGAAGGGCTGGGGTGGGGAGGTGGCTCCCAATTCTAGAGTGTGCACAGCGGAGTCTCATCTCTGGGAAGAGAAGCCAGACAGGTCTCTGTCTTCTTACTGAATCCTGAGCTAAGAAGGCGACTCAGGCGCCCATCCTCAGCGAGGGGTGGGTATCTAACAGATGCGAAGTTGGGGTGCAGTCCCTTTTCCCAGGGAGCATGCTTGGTGTCCTGGCTAATGCTGGGTGTGGGCTTCTGGTATGCCCCAAAATGGATATCCAGGACCTAGACGGACCCTGCGGAGAGACAGGGACCCCTGATGCCACGCATCAGCTCAGCTCTCCATACCCTGCTTCACACCTAGTCTGTCTGTGTGGTGCATTTTAGAACTCTGTTTGGGTGACCAGGTCTTAGAAGGGAAGGGACGGTGCACTGGGGTGTCAGAGTGACCCCCCTGCTCACACCACAGTGTGGCTTTGTTCATTCTAAGTGTGGCTGGGAGGAGGGGAGGGAGCCAGGCTGGGGCACGGCAGGGCGGGCATGGCCCAAGCTGGGCATGTGGAGATGGGGGAACACACTGAGCCACCCCAGGCTCCGGCAGTCTTTGTGGCCCTGGACATCCCCACAGGTAAACAGGGAAGGCTCTCCCCCAGCGAGCGGGGTCTTTGTGTGTCAGCAGGCCATGAGCAGAGCATGTCAGGGTCTGGGGTCTCCTGTGACTACTATAACTGCTAACAGTTAGTGTCTTTTGTTACAAAGCTGCTGGGGCCACGATGCTAGTGACAATGATGGGTCGCTCACCAAGGCCACAGCACCCGTCTGTACCTCCCAGGGCTGGTGTGGCAGCCGGTGGGAGGAGCCAGCCCTGCTGTGGATCCGTTAGGGGTTTCGGCGAGGGCTCCAGACTGTGGGTGTCTTTGTGTAGAGGTCGCACAGCCTACCCAGTGAATGCTGGCATGGGTTCCCTTTGTTAATGTCTCTGGAAGTCTGTGTGTGTGTCTCTCTTGGGGTGTGTCTTGTGAATAGGGAACGGGGACCCAGAGTATGGAGGTGCAAGGCTGAGGAGTCGCTGTAGGAGCGGCTGGCGGGGTGGAGATCCCCGGCTCGGCTTCTTTATTCCTTCACCGTGTTCCACATGTGTGCGTGTGCACACAAACCCAGTGTGAGTCTCCAGCCAGGAACCACAGTGTGTGCAAAGGCGCGTGGGTGATTGTGCGAGGCTTCTGCCAGGGACCAGAATTCTCGTGGAGCTGATGCCCCCACACCACAGGGTATAGACACAGATATACCCTTGCCCAGACACAAACCACAGATGCACGCCCAGTCACACATCCAGTGACACCAGATGACAAACGTCCAACTCTAACTCAGTGGAGACGGGTTGGGGTGGGGCTGGGAATGGGACCGGGACACAAACACACACAGGCCCATGAATGTGTCTCCCCTCTCCCTTGCAGGCTCCTCTTTGCATATACATGAGGCTAATGCATCATTCATGAGGGGGTGGGCCCAGACCTCAGCCCAAATGCTGTCACTCACCTCTGGTGGCCCAGGGAAGGAAGTATTTTAAGAGAAGGATGTGGGCGTGTGAGGGTGTGAGGGGAAGGGAGAGAAAGAGTGTTTGAGAAGGGAGGAGCGTGAGGCTGACTTTGTGTCTGTCACCATGCTGGACTACCTTTAGGTATTTTTAGGGTGTTCCCAAGGTTTTGTGTACAGAGCTGTTTTAAAAGGTGATGTATTACAAGTCCTAGTTCATTTCTTCCTGATAATTTCAGAGGGTTTGTCTGGACGGGGCTCATTTTACAGGTGGGGAAACTGAGGCAGGGAGGATAAGGCCCCTGAAGCAGAGTTGCATAGTGGGTAGAGTGTAACAGATTTTTTTTTTTTTTTGGTGGGGTAGCGGGACAGGTGTTTTCAAAACAGGGTTTTCTATGCAGGCTTGACTGTCCTGGAGCTCACTCTATACATCACATTGGCCTCAAACTAGAGACCCACCCGCCTCTGCTCCCTCTGAGCTGGGATTAATGGTGTGATGGTGTGTGCCTGGGATCTTTTTTTTAAAGACTGGATCCCATGTAGTACAAGTTGACTTTAAACTCAAAATGAAGTTTAAGGTGGCCTCAGACCCTTGACCCTTCTGCCCCATCTCCCACAGTAATGGAGATGACAGTATTTGGCTACTGTACCCAGCTGAACTCAATTATGTGGAGAGGAGTGGGGAGAGAGAACACATTTTCTGGTCTTGATCTCCCCCAAAATGGGATAGTCTCAGCCACTAGGATAACCTGCTTGGGCTTAGCGTTTCCAGAGAAAGAAACGGGAACGGCCTGGATTGGAGTTAGAGGCTGTGGATATTTATTTACAACTTTGTAGCCTGTGCTCTGCTGCGCATCCCAAAGCAAAGAGCGTGGGGTGTCTGGGGGTAAGGCAGGCTGCGGCCAGAGCCACCGCATTAGGCGTCAGAGTTCAGCACCAAGGACAGGTCCCAGCCCGGCTCTCCCCTAGTGCTCGTAGAAACCCGGAGGAGAGGTGAAGGGAGCTGCCCTCCTCGAGCCTCTAGAGACCCCACCCGCGAGGGCCTCCCCTTCTTTGATAGGCCGAAGGGCAGATTTGCACTCTGGCTTCCCCTCTCCTGTCCCCTTTGAGCTTCTGTAAGGGGCTTGAGTTAGGAGAGGGGCAAAGTTTTAGGAATCCTTGGGGAATGAATGAATGTTTTTCAGGCATGGGGTAAACCTTTTTTCACAGCAGGCACTCAATAATTGCTTACCACCCAGCAGGTGAGGCCTGGTCCCTATGGAGGGGATAGCTCCAGGCGGAGGCAGCTTCTGTGGGCTGCAGTCAGCTGGGAGAACTGGGCTTGGGAAGGGCCTGGGGACCCCCAAAAGGATGCGGACCCATTGCTTCCCTTAGGAGCTCCCATTCTGATGGTGGAAGCTAACTTGGAAAACAGGATTTCAGACTTGGCAGTGTGAAGTTTAGTGATAATATCAGCCACAGCTAGAATGTTCTCCTGCTAGCCAAGTTGCTCAAAGCATTGTCTATAAGTTGATTCATCCGTCCTTCCAGCCAGCTGTTGTCCTCATCTGACCCACAAGGAAAGGGAGGCAGAGAGAAGCTAAGCTACTTACCTGATGTCTCACAGCAAGGCAGGAGCAGGGGCAGGGGAGTTGCCGAGAAGACCGGATTGGGCTAAACCTGTGTAGATTGTCTCTACCCCTCTGGGCTGAGATGTGAGATCACAGGTCTGAGCCACCAAAACCAGCCCAGGCCTCACAGGTGCTTCGCTGGTTTTGGAGTCAGAGACTAACTAGAACTGGGGACCCCACAGGAGTGTGTCAAGATCTGGGAACAGAACCCAAGGCCTAGGTAAGCCTGGAAGGTGCTGGGACCAGAACCCAGGACCCCCTGTGCGCTTAGCAGGCATCCCAGCACTAAGCCACAGCTCAGCCTGGATTCTCTGAAGGGAGAGGCTCGGAAGAAAATCCTGCTTGGCCTCTGCTTGCCTTACTGTGTGAAACTTCAGTGACTTGCTGGTCTTTCTGAGTTCTGATTCCTAATTCTTCCTGGAGCTGTCTGGTTCCTCCATGCTGAATGTCTGTGGAGGGGAGTTTTCTGCCATGACTCACCTTCCATCTCTCTCCTTTGCTCCTAGCTCCAGTATGGGGTCCAAATCTACCTGGGCCTCAGGCCTCCTGGTGCTGTGGCTGCTGATCCTAGTGACTGGGGATCAGGGTGAGTTGGGTTTACAGGGGGCAGGAGAGGGAGTCTTTACATGCCACAGTCATAGCCATGGGTCAGCAGGAATGGATTAAGCTTTTTTCATTCCAGAACCTTTTCCTGCTGATCCTCTAGCTGGGTCTACAAAATAAAACAAGAATAGCTGAAACCAGTCTTTGAACAGTCAAAAGGGAACATGATACCTGAGAAGTTATTTTTAGTCATAACCAGCAGAGGCTGGAGGTCGCTGCCTCTCACTGTCTTTTGCTGAAATGATCTGAAGAAGAAAGGTGGGAGAGAGAGACAACAGCACAGGCGTTGATTACTGATGTCTGCCATGGCGGATCAAGGGAAGGAAGAGCTTGTGCCTCTCCTGGAGGACCTCCCCAATGGTGGTCAAGGGTCCAGACTTTATGAATTCTTTACTGAGTCTCCCTGTGGCTATAGGCAAGAATATTTATTTCTCTGATTTTCAGTTTCCCCAGTGTCCCTAAAAGAAGACAAGACATTGCCGCTGCAGATGGTTATGGGAGTTCAGCGACTTGACTGCACTGGAGGGGCATAGTGGCGCAGCCCTGTAATCCCGGCATGCGGGCAGTAGGTCAGAAGTGCAAGGTCATCCTTGGCTGTGTAGTTTGAGAGCAACCTGTGCTACTTGAGACCATGTCTGAAAACAGAAGAAAAATTAAAAAGAAGAAAAATATAGCCCACAAACACTGGGAGCCAGTGTCTGCCTGTGGCTTAGCTTTTGAGGATCAGAGAAGGGAAGTGACTTTCCCAGGGCCACACAGCAAGCCAGTGATGATGACAGTCATAGTTCACCCACATAAGAAGCCTTTTTGCAAGTCACTGTGAGTAAGGCAGAACCATGAACAGTTCTGGCCCGGGAGTCCCTTTGGTGACATTGCACGGTGCCGCAGCCTGGCCTCTCTGGCTTCCATCCCTCTGTAAAGAGAGTTAGTAAGCCGGGCTGTGGTGGTGCATGCCTTTAATCCCAGCACTCAGGAGGCAGACAGGAGATCTTTGTGAGTTCAAGGCCAGCCTGGTCTACAGAGTAATTCTAGGACATCCAGGGCTACACAGAGAAACCCTGTCTCAGGAAAAAAATAATAAAGTGAAGCCGAGTATGGTGTTGAACTCCTTGAATCCCAGCACTCGGGAGGCAGAGGCAAGAAGATCTCTGTGAGTTTGAGGCCAGCCTGGCCTATGTAGTGAGTTCCAGGCCAACCAGGGCTACATAGTGAGACATTGTCTCAGAAAGAAAGAAAGAAAGAAAGAAAGAAAGAAAGAAAGAAAGAAAGA